GTCAGATGTCCAGCACCTGCCATGAGTTTTGTGGGCTAATCTCTTAAGAGAATTGTCATGTGTCATGTGCATCAGCAACCTGGTGGCCACAAGTACTCAGAACTCAAGAAGCACTTGGGACATGTTGAGAGAGATGATCAGTTAATGACATGCAATGCCAATTGTTACAATACACTCATGTCTGAATGATTTGGTTCTAAGGCTAGGCAACAGACTTCCTTACACACACATGGAATAGCTAAAGGTGAAGTTAATGAATTCCATATCAGTTTTGTATTTTTCATCAAACTCTTTCTGGAAAATAATGCAGATGTTCTCATTCATTGCCAACAACTTGTCAACAGAGATTTTTTGTATCCTAGGATCATTGGATCTATAACTACATATGTGGTCTACTCTGGCACAAGGCTCATTCTTTTGAGAACCATTGGGGGATCGCTCAAATTTCCAAGTATAGTTCTAGTTTCAACTTGAGACATAATTTCAACAATAGGCAAGTTGCGGATTGACCACTTATCACATGACATAGCCGCTCACATTAAGATTATTTCTATGAATTGATTCAGAAATTGCATGATGCCTGTACTAAAGTGAAAGAAGGCTGATTTTAGTACAAGCTCAATCAGAGAATAAAACCACATTAACATTATGCTGGGTAGGTCCCTAGTCCCATGTCAAATCAACACAAAATTTACCTGACCCACTCTGATTTACATGAAATTTGGTGAGCTCCTAGGGGCCATTGAAAAACTGTTCCATGCCAAATTGCAGTTCCCTAGATCAAGTACTTTCAGAGGTGTAGTGACTTGAATGTTGTGGAAAAGGCCCATTTTTGTGTCAAGTCATCACCACTAAAGTGGTCATAAGTTTTGTTTTAATTAACATAGAGAGCTGAAATTAGTGTCATTTTAAAGATCTCTTTACCCCCTTTTAAAGGATATGTGACTTATGAAATTTCAATGAAAACAAAGGTCAAAGGGTCTGATCTTTGACCTTCAATTCCAGAAAATGGATACATTTTATTTTTTTCAAAAAAACATATATAACATTCTGAATTTCTTCTCTATAAATACCCACTTTTTCAATTTGGGACTACCATAGGATCAGGAGATACAGACAATAATGTGGCAGTAACTGACCAAAAATCTTGAGAGTGCACTAGAAAATTCTGGTTTCATCCAGTTTGAGCAAAATTGTATTTCACTTATCATAGCAGTCAGAACTATCAGAGTGTTCTAGAAAGTTATTAAAGTGCTTGAAGGTTCCAGAAGAAAAAAAAAAAACGTTCTGGAAAGTTTTTGAGGTATTGCAAAGTTCCAGGATCTTTCTAGAAATTTCAAGAAAAAGCATCTTCCTCAAGGTTATTTACAGGCCCCCTCAGCATTATTTTACAAGTTTGTGTCCCAGTTTCTCAGTTATGCATCAACTTGTGATGTTTTGTGCTACTCGTTCTCATTCTCCTTTGTTGCAACCCATTTGGCAAAGCCAAATGTTCATCTAAGAAAAACCTTAGACCAGTCTTGCTATGGATATGTAACAAACTCCCTTTTCTTCAACTTGGAGCTAAGATATGCAATAGTTGCAGGAAGAAAATTGCCCAAATGTTGGTGTTCCCAAGAACTGAGTTGAGCTCATCTTTATCCATGTCAAGTCAATAAGAGCTTGGTCCAAGGAGCCATACTAACTTAGCCGAAGACGAGGTCTTCTATGAGCACAATAGGAAATTAGAATTCATCAGAGTTTGCATTCCATCAGAGATTCTCTTATTGTCAAGAAGAAACTTACACAATCCATATATCCAAAGGAGAAATTGAAGGTTGAGGGTGTTCTGAAGAGGAATTCACTCGATGTGGAGTCAGATGACAGTGATGGCAATCAAATCATCAATCAACTGAAGGAAAAATTCAAAGCGTTCACAGAGAGAAGTGAGAAGGTACAAATCTTGACAGTTCTTCCACAAATTTGGAGCATTAGGGAAATCCAACACTAGTTCAGCACATCTAATTTCATGGTGCCTTAACCCCTAAAATGGACTTGCCGCATATGTGCAGTCTGGCACCTGCCTTCTCTCAATGGAATCACCGCACATATGCATTTAAAAGTTCCCAGTTAAGGGGTGAAGTGAAAGAACTTGTGAAACAAAGGGATCATGTCCAAGTCAAATCCTAAACTGGGAAAAGTAATCCCAGCAGAAACAACTAATGTCATCAGGAACTTTTATGAAAGTGACAAAGTAAGTCAGCTCATGCCTGGCAAGATTTCATTATTGTGAAATGAGTTGGAAAATGGATCCATGTCCAAAAAAAAAAAGGCTAGTCTTGAGCAATTTTAGGGAGGTGTATCAACTGTGAAGCTGATGATGTTGGGTGGAAAGATTACCAATCTGACTGCTGATGATGATGTCCCACTGAAAACAGACAGTCACTGTCTGGAAGTGATCATCTGTAATCCTCCTCAACCAGCACGCTACTTCTGAGAATGCCATTCATACCCTGGCTTATCATGTCTGAAGGAATTCCTGAGATCGCTAATGGACCACAATATGATAGACAACATAATCTACAGACAGTGGATCTCTGTTGATAGATCTAGCCTTGAGACTCTCAGCAAGTCCTCTGATGATTTTTTTGGATTCTTTCAGTGAAAAGCTTCTCCCTCATTCATCCATTGCAAGACAATAATCTTCTTTTCAAACAAAGAGGAAATCAAGCTTGAAAACTAGGGAATTCTTGATGTTCTGCGACTTCTCAGAGAATTATTCTTTCATTCTACAGGATGAAGCACAAGGTTTTCATTGTAATAACTCACCCCTGAAGGATAAATTTCATTCTCTTCCACAAAATATCACCTACTTCTCTGATGGATCTGCTTCACACTACAAAAATTGGACAATTTTCCTGAACTTGTGTAATCATGAGACAGACTTTGGCTTTTCAGCTGAGTGGCACTTCCCAGCCACCGCCATGGAAAAGGAGTGTGTGATGGAGATGGAGGGTCAATGAAAAGGTTAACTGCAGGAGCCAGTCTCCAATGACACTACAACCAAGAGATAATGATAATTCACCAACTGTTTGAATGGGCATCTGAGAACGTCCCAGCCATTTGCTTCAAGTATTGCAGCTTGGAGAACTACATGCAGAGGAGAAAGAGGCAGAGTTTTTGGAAAAAAATATTTGCACAATCATGCATGAATGCTGGAACTCAAAAACTTCATTCCTTCATCCCATCAACAAAAGAAAAAGTTGCTACCAATGTGTGTTCCTTCTCATCTGTTTCAAAAGAAGAGAGTCACCCTCATGCAAGTTGAGCTTGCAGCTGACAAGCTCTAGTCATGAATGATGAAGACTGTCCTTCAACTTGGTCCAGTTTTAGTTTGACTTCTGTAAATTTTTGACTACTTCTTGTCAGTATACTGTGACAGTGTATTTTGCCTTTTCAACAATTGTGTGGCAATTTTCATGTACCTGCTGTTATTCCATTGTTTGTAACCCCTGATCCCATGGTAGTACCATATTGAAATTGTTGGTACTTATGGAGAAGAAATTTAGATTATATACATTAAAAGAAAAAATTTAAATGACCTTTTTTCTGGAAGTAAAGGTCAAAGGCTCTTTGACCTTTGTTTTCATTGAAATTTCATAAGTCACATATCCTTTAAAAGGGGGTGAAGAGACCTTTAAAATGACATTAATTTCAGCTCTCTTTGTTAATTATAAAAAAACTTTATGACCACTTTAGTGGTGATGATTTGACCCAAAAACAGGCCTTTTCTGTAACTTTCAAGTCGCTACACCTCAGAAAGGACATGATCTAGGGAGCTGCAATTTTATATGGAATAGTTTTTCAATGGCCCCTAGGAGCTCACCAAATTTCATGAAATTTGGAGTGGGTCAGGTAAATTTTGTGTTGATTTGATAAGGAATGACTAGCAATCTTTTCATGATTTGATACATCTGTACTTGTTTGTTATTGTCAAGTATAGCTGGAAGTGTGCTTACTTTGCTATGCTCAGATGAAGTAAGTTTCTCAGTTACTTTTTACTAGGGAAATGTCAATGTAACATTTTTAATATCTACTATTGTATATTTTCTTTGAATGACAAGAAAATGGGTATCAGATGGGAATGCTTCATTCAGTGATCAAAAGAAGCATTAGAAGCATAAAAGTACTAACACAAATACAAATACATTATAGAGCTGGAATCACAATCCACTGACTTGTACTTACTTTCAATTGTGACATTTGTGGTTACTGCTAAAGCATTGCTACAAAATTATTTCAGAAAATTCTCGAAGGAATGATCAACAAACTCACAACGCTGTGATATAGTTGGTACCATTTTTTCAGTCTTGAAAGTAAGTCTTACATTTTTAAGTCTTTTTATGAAAACTAGACTTTCTGGGAATCTTAGAAAGTTAAGCAACCTGTAGTGTGAATAAAGAAATAAACTGTGGTAACATGAAAGTACTTAGTATGCTACAAAAAGAATAAACTGACATAGCTTCCAGTCCCCTGCAGTTGCAAGAAATGGACGATTTGCACAACAGATCACAGATGGAATCACAAAGTACATGGAATCAGCTGCATAAAAGATGATCAGAGAACAAAAGACAGGTCTCAAAACCACAACACCACATATCATAATCAGTAACATACTCATTCTCATGTAAGTTTGTTGCAGTAATCAGAAATTTAACATGATAATGTCTAGAGAGGCATATTCAGGAAACTGATAGTTTCTTAATTTATAATTGAACTATCATATTCAGAATCATTCTCAATACAAGTATTTTTCTTAAAAAGAAAAGCTATGCAAGTATGAGGATAACATAGATCAAGTTGTTGGGAGCATAATGGTCTCTTTTACCACAAAATACTTTTTGATTGCTCACATTCCAGCTAATACTGAAGTTTTCAATCTGCTAACATGTATGATGTACAAGCATGTTTGACTTGCCAGAACTATAAAAACCTGGAAAAGAGAAGTAATATTCTATCACAGGCCTAGTAGTTGACTGGAATGTATGCAGATGAAACATCACACAAATTCGGGGAAGGTGGCATGGATGATAGCAACAGAACCATCTGTCAATGGGGCCAGTAGGTGAGTGCAGCCTGGAGCAAATGCAAGACTTCGAACTCCTTGGTGCAGTGGCAGAGTACTCACCAGTGACAATCTGCAAAATCACCATGAATGTGTTTTCAACACTCCTCTCATGGGACGTTTTGGTCAGAACCTGATATTTTAAAATACAATATTTAAGTTTTACAGGGCCAAGCAATGAGAAGTTGGGAAAAGGGGCCATTTTGGATTATCTTGTCTTCTGAATTCATGGAACAAATAAAAGTGAAAAGAAATATAATAAAACTTTGAAGATGGAACATAGACATCCTAAACTGTCAGTCTAACCAGATCAAATATCACCTCTTGTATGAAAGAACTTATTCCATTTAAATTTTGCAAATACACTATTATGTTGGGGAAGTGAGAGGAGCATAAGATAGAGAAGAATGGAAATGGACCCAAAAATGTGTCGAAAGGACAGGTTCCCATGGATATCAGCCACAAGGAGGAAGTCCTGGGCAGTGAGGAGACAGGATAGTGGGGATGGAGGGCGATAGCTGCACAAGTGCTTCCCATTCACTGAATACACATCCAACCGGTACTCCCCTGATCCCTGCAAGTACAAGATAATAAGTCACTCTCAAGACTTGTTGTTTATCTTCAGACCTCTCTTTATGCACCTCTTTTGTTGGACACAAATATACTTTTCCAGTCTATTTTCAATGTCTCTTGAAAATTATGAATCTTTCTTCTTTATTATGAAAGGTCACCTATCTTTGGGACTCCTACCACCCTTAATCAAGGCTGGAAGGTTTGTTCATTTGTTCATCTTACATAATACTTATTATCCCAAAGGAAAGATGTAAATTCACATGCTTCCACTCCCTTTTCTTTATCTGTAAAGTAACTGGGCATACAGTATGCACACAGCAATGAGAAAAATCCCTCTTTCTATGATCACTGTGATGAAGATGTAAATCAGGCCAGGAAAGAATAAGAGCCAATAATGAGGAGGCCATAGAGAGAGAGTGATACCTTAGCCTCAGAGTAGACAGCAATGTGTCCCATATATGAGAGGGCAAGGTAAAGGACATGAAGGCCTGAGACTGTCGCATGTGCTGGGGGGTGTAGTGTATGCAGCAAGAGCCCCTCTTTCACACCATACACATTCACTGTCCCATCCTGCCAGTAAAAAAATATTTCATCTTTCTACCATCTTCCTTCATCTGCTGTGAATTCAATCTTACAATAGTTGAGGTTCAGCTTTATCTAAATTACTTGATTCCAAACATTTTGGTTATCTGTAAACAAGTTGTAACCCCATCATTTTCCTTTTATTACTTTCTACTTCAAAATTATTTAAACTATATTCTTTGTTTACCATTAACTTCTGAGTTTGAAATTCTTGATTGGACACCCCAATATATGAATCCATCCTAAATCATATGAGAAATTAGCTTGACATGCTAGATGGGAAATTCAAAGGAACCTAACTAGGGGAAAAATTCACTAACCAGGGAACCTGAGATTGCAATGTCAAGTTCTATTGCAAGGGAGACATGTGTGATGGGTGCATCATGTCCATAGAGGGTGTGCATGGGTTTGGGATCCAGACCCACAGGTGCACCCCCAACACCAGTCACCACCTCCCACAGCATTGATGTTCCATCTCGACTTCCCGTCATCAATACAAAATTTGTTACACTGTCTAGCTCTAGGCATGTCACCACATCTAAATAAAAAAAATTAAAAATTGCCCTATTTTTGTAAGATTGCACTCAAGAGTCATGAAATTATGGAAGAGTCCAATCCATATTGAAGCATTATCTTAGTTTAAAAAAAATGTGTCCCTGTTGGACACCCTGCATGTTGAAAGAAGACCAGCCAACAGGAAATCCGTGCAAAAAGCAATTACATAAATCACACATTACAGCCATAAGAAGTCCTTATTTTGTGAAAAGATAAGAAGGAAAAATGACAGAGAGCAAAAAAAATAGAATTGGAAAAAAGGAAAAGGGATTGATAGGGGGTGCAATTGGTGACCATGGCAAGGTACAGGGTGGCCCAAAAGTAGGGAAGAGATTTGCTGAAGGAATAACTTTTGACATATCCATAATATATATTTCTTTTTTGTAGGTTGTAGTGGACCTTGGAGTTTTATGATGAATCAGAGAACAGTTGAACAACATGCAGTAACTGTGGAACTTTATTTTTATAACAGACACTAAACCTTTGAAGCTCAGTGTGCCAACCATCAATGATTTGGTGTTCATGAAGCACCTTTCAGAACGTGTTATTTGTTGGCATGTTGCATATTTTTGTGCATTATCTATCTCATGAGTTAGAAATACACAGAACATCAGTGCATTGCATTTTATTGAAGTAATTACACTTCTACCCTTATCAAATTCAGCTTTTGCAAGATCTGCATGGATGGATGGAGTTCCTCCATAATGCACTGAATTCTTCCTAGAATGGGACTTCCCAGAATTGCCTGGCAAACTGTCTCAACACATTGTGAACTTAGGCTGCTGCAAGATCTTCTGGATCATGGTTGATCAGTCACACCACTATTGGCATGAAAATGTGCAATATGCCAACAAATAACATGTTCTGAAAGGTGCTTCATGAACACCAAACCGTCAATGGTAGACACCTGAGCTTCAAAGATGTAGTGTCCATTAGAAATATAAAGTTCTACAATTGCTCCATGTTGTTCAACCATCCAATGATTCATGATAAAATTCCAAGGTCCATTCTACAACCTACAAAAAAGAGAAATATATATTATCTCTATTATCAGTTACTTGATGAACGAATCCCTTCACTACTTTTGGGCCGCCCGATATAACACCCTATCACCTGAAAACTGAAATCGATTGTTACAGGATGAAAGAGGAGTGATCAGTGAGTTTGAGAGGGTAAAACATGGACCTTGATGTCGATGGAGGGTCTGGATGAGCTTGCCCTTGAGTACATTGAAGACACGGATGCTTCCATCCCAGAATGCAGCCAGGAAAAGGAGGCGACCATCACTTGTCACTGCCACATGCTTTGCATTAAATTCCTCTCCTGGATGAAACCCACCTCCAATCCGGCGACAATTCCTACAATTATGTTCAACAGGTCATGCTTTGTTGGGTTATCCATTAACAGTTATGCAGACAAGATTCAAGATAGTGATACCAAGCGGCGATTTCACCCATTTCGATATCACGTGCCGAGGTCGAGCGTTCCTTAATTTTAGGGTAGGCCTAACCCTCTTAAAGCTAAATATTTTTGTATTTTTGTTTGTTTTTATTTTTTTGTTTTGCTT